AGTCCATGGGGTTGCAAAAGAGTTGGACATGACTCAGCGACTAAACAACAACAAGATAAACTAGATGGAAACTTAGCTACTAGGACCAAGCAATAAGCACAATACCTACGGATGCAAATACAGTATTTCCACAAAACCAGGGAAATGACAATATTATTTTCTACATCTACTACTATTCACTGGAATCTACCAAAAGTCTTACTAAATCAATAAGTACAAGAAGAGTAGTATGAAGGAAATTTCCTGGCCATCCAGCAGTTAAGACTCCTGGGTTCAAACCCTGGCCGGGGAACTAATATTCCAGAAGCCTCATGGTGTGGCAAAAAAATAAATAAAATGAAAAAAAAAATTTTTTTTCAAAGTAGTATAAAGATTGAAAGGAAATTATCATACTAAGTGAAGAAAGCCAGAGAAAGACAAATATCATATGATATCACCTTACGTGTGGAATCTTAAAAAAAAAAAAAAGGTACAAATGAACTTGTTTCCAAAACAGAAGAGACTCACAGACATGAGAAACAAACTTGGGGTTACCAAAGGGGAAAGGTGGGTGGGAGGAGGGACGAATTAGGAGGTTAGGATTAACATATACACCCAGCCATATATAAAATAGGTAACTAACAAGGACCCACTACATAGCACAGGGAACTTTACTCAGTATTTTGTAAAAACCTCTAAGGGAAAAGAATCTGAAAAAGCATATATATTTTTTCATATATGTATGTATGAATGAATCAGTGTGCTGTACGCCTGAAACTAACATGATATTACAAATCAACTATACCTCAACTAAAAAAAAGGAGGGGGGACGTCCCTGGTAGTCCAGTGGTTAAGAATCGCCTGCCAATGTAGGGGACATGGGTTCAATCCCTGGTCTGGGAAGATCCCACATGCCATGAGCACTACGAACAGTAGTGCCATATGAACATGCCACGAACAAGTTCATGCCATGAACAACAAACAGTAGCCCCCAATTGCTTCAATGAGAGGAAGCCCTCGAGCAGCAATGAAGACCCAGAACAGCCAAAAATAAGCAAATAAATACATTTTTTTAAAAATTAAAGAGAGAATTCAATTGTCACTATTTGTCAATGATATCATTGTCTAGTCAGAAAATGCAAGATAGTCAAATGAGGTAATAGGAGAGTAATAAGAAGGATACAAAAGCAACACACCAGGATTCTATTTATTATTGCCATACACACAAAAATACTAAAATATTGAGGCAAAAATATGATCAGAAACATGCAAGATACTGGGGCTTCCCTGGTAGTGCAGTGATTAAGAATCTGCCTTCCAGTTCAGGGGATGCAGGTTTGAGCCCTGATCAGGGAACTAGGATCCCATGCGCTGCAGGGCAACCAAGCCTGAGCACTGTGATTACTGAGCCTGCATGCTCTAGAGTCTGTGCTCCAAAAGCCACAACTAGAGAAAACTCATGCATTGCAATGAAGACCCAGCATAGCCAAAAAAAAAAAAAAGAAATATGCAAGATAGGAATAAAGTCATAAGTTTACTGAAGGACATTAAAAAACGACCAAAAGAGTAGAAAGGCATTCTAGCTGCTGAATGAGATTTGTTATTGTATAGATGTCAATTTTCCCTCAAATAAATCTATAAATGCAATTCATTTCTGATGGAATTGAATCATCGCCTTCCGCTATTCTTCACTTTTCCCTCTCTGGGTCTCTAGGAATGTATGAAGAGCAGAAAACAGGTATCTTTGCACCTGTCTTGACATTTCTCCTGGTGTCTGATGGGGTTCACTGCATACCTCTGCTTTCCGTCTCAATGCCAAGTGCCAGCTTCCCCAGAGTCTACCTCCCACTTCCTCAGCCCTGGTCCCCCAAACACAAAAGCGACCCATCAGACCCTGGCCTCCCTCCTGCCTCACCTCAGAGTGGGGCATGAGCTCAAAAAGGCTCTCTGGCCATATGGATCCCAGAGCCCACGGAACTCTGTGCACTGAAGGATTTCCACTGTCCTCTGTGGATCTGAAAGGTTCAGGCTATACTCAATTTACAGTGGAGTAACAGGTAATCAGGGCTTCCCTGGTGGCTCTGATGGTAAAGAATCTGCCCGCGATGCAGGAGGTTGGGGTTTGATCCCTGGGTCAGGAAGATCCCCTGGAGAAGAGAAAGGCTACCCACTCCAGTATTCTTGCCTGGGCAATCCCATGGATAGAGGAGACTAACGGGCTACAGTCCATGGGATGGCAGTCAGACACGACTGAGCAACTAACACTTTCACTACCTTCAGGAGCAACAAAATGAATTAAAAAATAATTGCCCTGGGGTCTTCCCTTCCACTAAATGGCATTCTCAGCTCTGAGCAGGGAGTTAAACTAAACCCAAAGTAGGAAAGTGATATTTTAATTTGAATTGAAACTGAACTCAAATAACAATATTGTTCCCTCTTTGAAGTTTGAACTGGATCTGACCTGGACAAAATCCAAAAACTTTGTTACCCTATTTCTTCTCTCCAAAAACAACCCACAAGACTAGACTAGATCTTTCTCAGTTCTGAACCTGCTTCATGTTTTGCTGTATTTTTCCAACTGAGTAGAGTAATATGTTAATTTTTTTAAAAAGCTATTTTATTATTATAGTAGAGGCATGACCTTTTAAACAAAGATTCTATCTTTGCTTTTGAAAGAACAGCAAAATGAGTTGGTAAGCTTCAAGAGTTTCTTTTTTAATTAGAAAAATTTTGAAAACCGATACAAAATTTGATTTGAAGCTCCATACTGTATTTGCCGTTTTTGTGCTTCTTTTTTCAAATGATGGATTCAAGCAGCTATGTGTGTGCTTAGTCGCTCAGTCATGTCTGACTGTTTGCACCCCATGGACTGTAGCCCACCAGGCTCCTCTGTCCACGGGGATTCTCCAGGCAAGAATACTGAGTGGGTTGCCACGCCTTCCTCCAGGCTATTTTCCGGATCCAGGGATTGAAACCAAGTCTTCTGCAGCTGGATTCTTTACCCTCTCAGCCACCAAGAAAGTCCAAGAATACAGGAGTGGGTAGCTTATCCCTTCTCCAGGGGATCTTCCTGACCCAGGAATCGAACCAGGGTCTCCTGCATTGCGGCAGATTCTTTACCAGTTGAGCTACCAGGGAAATCCTCAAGAAGATATACAGAAATGAAATGGTAAAGCTTGGTGACCATTATATTGCCCTATTTTAAGTTTTTTAAATTTATTTATTTTTGGTTGCATGGGGTCTTAGTTACACCACTCAGGATCTTCACTTTGGTTCTGTCCGCTTCTCTCTAGTCATAGCTCGTGTGCTCAGTAGCTGTGGCGCAAGGGCTTAGTTCCCCTGCAGCATGTGGGATCTTAGTTCCCTAATTTGGGATTGAACCCGCATCCCTCGCATTGAAAGGCAGATTCTTAACTGCTAGAAGTTAGGGGAGTCCCTATATTGCCTATTTTTGTCACTAGGTTTTTAAAGAAGAATTTCAGTAGGAGAGGGTAAGGTGGTAGTAAATATAGATCCCTTGAGTCAGTGGTGGCATCTTTTCAAGGCATGGCACAGCACCTCAAACAAAGCTCAGTATCCATTTGTTGAGTAAATGAAGCAAGAGAGAGGCCGCTCAGCCTTCTATTCAAGGACATACTTGTGTCTGTTGCTCAGTAGGCCTTTGGTCTTGACTTCAAGTGTTCTCTAAGCATAGTCCTTTTAGTCTTCTAGGCTTGTCTGTGTCTCTGGACCAAGGATAGAACCCATGGCCCCTGCTGCATTGGCAAGCAGATTCTTAACTACTGGACCACTAGAGAAGTCTAAGAGGGACTATGCTGACTGAAGACATTTACTTATTTTGTCTTTAGATACCCGAACATAGGCTAGCCCTTATGCTTTGGTTCAAAGTTTGTGAATTGTTTTTCCTTTTCTTTCTTCCATATTTGTCTTCTATCTGTGGTTAGCATTAGTGCCTTCCCACAGGCACAGCTAACGGGGCGTTTTCCCCAAACTGTACATGGCAGCTCTGAAGAGAGGGGAACCGCAAGAGAAGTGTCCCACCTCTCTTCACATACATCCCTGAATGGTGCTCTTTTCTGAGATTGCCTCCTGTTTCTTTCCTCCTATAGTACTTTCCCTATTGCTGTTTCTATGATTTCCAACCTCAATTCTATTCAGCAGAGCTGCTTTAAAATTCACTCCAATGAGAGCCTACCTGCTTGTCTCCAGGGAAAGCCCAGGTGCGTAAATACACAGGGGCACATTCCTAGGATGGTCCTTGCGTCTCTATTTCCCATCCAGACACTGTTCCATCCACAGCATGCAGGCCTGGTGGGGCTGTCCCGCAAGACGCCCCACTTCCAACCAAATGTGAGCACATGTTCCAAACTAAGCAAGCAGGACTCTGGTCCTGTAAAAATTAGACCCTGGGCCTCGGAACACAAGGATCCCAAGTGGCAAAACAGGTTCATCCCCGAGAACAGGGTTGCCCATCACTTCTGCTTCCTGGATCTCTGAGCTGCCCTAGTTTCTGCCCCTATTGAGGCCTTTTCTCAGTTCTCTGGGCTGCCCAGATTCTTCCGTTTGAATGAAATAATGCCATTTGCAGCAACATGGCTGGATCTAGAGATTGTCACACCGAGTGAAGTAAGTCAGACAGAGAAAGAGAAATATCATATGACATCCCTTATTTGTGGAATCTAAAAAGAAATGATGCGAATTGCCTTATTTACAAAACAGACTCACAGACTTAGAGAACAAGCTTGTCACTGGGGGAGAGAGATCGTTAAAGAGTTTGGAATCCACATGTATGTACTGTTATATTTAAAGTGGATAACCAACAGGGACCTACTATATAGCATATGGAACTCTGCTCAATGTTGTGTGGCAGCCTGGGTGGGAAGGGAGTTTGGGGGAGAATAGATCCAAGTGTATGTGTGGCCGAGTTCCTTAGCTGTCCATCTGAAACCACCAAAATATTGTTAATTGTCTATACTCCAATAAAAAATAAAAAGTTTTAAAGAAATACTCTTCTTTTTGCCTTCAGTTATCCAGAATTTATTTCTGTTGTTTGCAACCCAAGTGCCCTGAGTAATGCAAGTGCTTGCAATTATTTGAGAACTTTTTCTGTCTTTTTCTTGTGGTTTATCCAAGACTCTTCTGCTGCCACATGGACCAGTATGGAACTTCAACCTTGGCCACCAGATAGTTGTTCTCTGAATGCTGCTTTCTCCAAGCTTCTCTAGGTGACTGGGCATCCATCTTTGCTTCCCTGGATCACCACTGCCTTCAGAAAATGTGGAAAAATCCTGTTTATATTAAAATCAGCTATCACTTTGGGGTGACAGGGTACACAGTTCACTGCCATTTGGGAACCAGTTGGAACTCTACCCCTATTAATTTACTTAAACAGAAACCAGCTACCTAGGATTATCATACTAAGTGAAGTATGTCAGGAAAAGATAGACGATATCACTTCTATGTGGAATCTAAAAGAATGATACAAACGGACTTTTTAACAAAACAGAAATAGACTCACAGACATAGAAAATAAATGTATGGTTACCAAAAGGGGAAAGAGGGGGATAAATTAGGAATTTGGGATTAACAGATGCACACTACTATATGTAAAATAAATAGCAAGGACCTACTGTGGAGCACAGGGAACTATATTCAGTATCTTGTAATAACTTACCATGGAAAATAATTTTAAAAAATACAGATTTATACATATAATGTACAAGTGAATCACTCTGTTGTATACCTGAAACATTGTAAATCATGTCAACTACAAATTGACACTTGCCAAGAGCATTTGCCAGTGACTGATCAGCAACAACAGGGGCATTTGCCATCTGTCTGTGGGCTTCCCACGTGGCTCGAGTGGTAAAGAACCCATTTGCCAATGCACATAGACACAAGAGACATAGGTTTGATCCCTGGGTGGGGAAGATCCCCGGGAGGAGGGCACAGCAATCCACTCCAGTAATATTGCCCGGAGAAGCCCATGGACAGAGGAGCCTGGTGGGCTACAGTCCATGGGGTCACGCAGAGTCAGACACAACTGAAGCGAGGTAGCCTGCACACGTGCTGCTGTAGCTTCTGACCTTCAGCACTCCCTGAAAGGAATTCAGGGTGGAGAGGGAAGGACTCTGTGCTCCAGGGAAACTGGTAGAACAGGTCTTTAGATAGTGAGATATTTTCAGGAACTGATTTCATAATCCTTGCATCCTTGCATCTCCTATCTAGAAAAGCACTAAATCCCTTCATGGTGACATCAGCTCCTTGTGACTAGCAGAAAACTTTGTAAAGTAAGCGCTTGATTGCCCTGAAACCCCCCTTCACCAAACTCTTATATATTGACCTTACCCCACTGCTGCTTTGGAGCAGGCTCTCAGAGCTATCTGAGGTGCTGTCTCCCAGGCCGCAGTCCACATTTTGCCCCAAAGGAAACTTAGCTCGCAACTCTCACATTGTGCACCTTCTTAGTCAACAATCAACCACACTTCAATTAAAAAACAAAAACAGAAATCATCAAAATCAGAATGAAACCAGCCTACTGGACCCTTTCTCATCTTACTTTCTACCTGGGCTCCCTCTGACAATAGGTGACCTTTGGGTGAAGCTGGTACAAAATGGCAGGAGACAGGATTCCCTGCTGGATGACATTTTCAGCACAGAACAAGTCTTTGTGAGGCAGCATCCTGGAACGCGTTCCTTGAGAACATCAGGCGTCTTGTCTGTGACAAGCCCTCTGCCACGTCCCCCCTCCCTCTTGCTATCTTTCCTCTTCCAGTCTCTGTTTCTGCCTCTCTGTACCTTTGGCTGACTGAGGTTCCCTCTGCAGGGTAGTGCCTCTGGGGAAGGCTCAGGGACTCCTCAAAGGCCTCATGTCAGAGTCAACCAGCCCTTCTCCTTGGCTCTTCATGGGCCTAACTAATAGGCATCACGGCCTTGAGCAACAAAGATGATGGTTTCTGTTTGTAATAGTAGGACAGCTTCTACCCTGGCAGTCCTGAAGGACCCTGTGGAGCCTCCAGGGTATAAAAGTTTTCCAGTGTTTCTTGCTTGTGGGGAAAAGACTTCAGCCTCTTAGACCTTTGTTTCAGTATATTTGGCCTCACTGTGCATTGGACACATGGACTTGTGTTGGGCAAAAGTGAAAACAGGAAGGAAGAGGTCAGGGCACAACCTTTGAAGGAATGACATAGCCCAAGGACATCAACATAAACTGGTTAGAATCAAAGGGGTCCAAGATGGCAGACAAGTCAACTTTGACTAGACCGTGATACTCAGTGTATGCTCATTGTAACACATCATCAAGCTAATGACAACCACAGGCACCATGACAGTAAAGACCAAAAAGTGGGTTCTACGTCACTTCAGTCATGTCTGACTCTTTGCAAGCCTACAGACTGTAGCCCACGGGCTCCTCTCTCCATGGGAGTCTCCAGGAAAGAATACTGGAGTGGGTTGCCATGCTCTTCTCCAGGTAATCTTCCTGACTCAGAGATCAAACCTGTGTCTTTTATGTCTCTTGCAGTGGCAGGTGGGTTCTTTACCACTAGGGCCACCTGGGAAGCACCTCCCCACCAAAAAAGTGGATAGTGGCCCAGTTCCTGGAAATCTCCCTCCCCTCCCCAAAATAGGTAGAATAATCCTCCCACTCATTAGCCTATGAAATGACCCTGCCCATAAAAGCTAACCATACCACATTTCAAGGCCACACTCACCCTCTGAGATGTTCCACACTCTGTCTATGGAGGGTGTTTCTCTCTAAATAAGTACGCTTCTTGCCTATCACTTTCTCTCACTGAATTCTTTCTGTGATGAGACATCAAGAATTTGAGCTCCGTTAGGTCCAGAAACCAGGTGTGCGATCTCATTTGGAGACTGTGGAGTTTGACTGGGGTTAAGTCTTGGCCATGTGGGTTCAAGTCCCAAGCAGGGTTTTGGCCTGGTTCAAGTCCCGGCACATGGGTTCAAGTTCCAATCAGAGATGAATGGTTTCAGAGGCAGCATTTGGAGCAAACTGCTTGGCAGAGCTTGGTGTGAGCTTCTAGAGGGCAGGGTCTGGTTCTCTTCTGTACCCTGGTTTATAGGATAAACAGCTGACTGCAGTATAGCAGGGCACACACAGCTACCTAGTCCTCGACCAGCACCAGGACACAGGAGTCACTGCAGTGAAGTGGAGAGTAGGGAGGGCTCCAGAGCCTTCCAGGGGAGGAAGCGTTTTATTGTGAGTAGCTAAGTGCATGGACACCGGACTCAAATGGATTTGGGGGCAAGATCCAGTTCTGCTACTTAGCTGTTAATTGAGGCAAATTATTTTTGTCCTCTGAGCCTGTGTCTATAAAGTAGAGATAATATCAATACTTATCTCATAGGATTCTTGTGATAATTAAATAAGATAGTCTAAAAAGCCTCCAATATGGAGACTGTCCCATTGGAAGAGTGCAATAAACATTCACTATTACCAAGCATCAGTAACGAGCTCCCAGGAGAGGAGCAGTCTATGGGCCTTGGCTACCTTGGGGGCCTTTCTGGAAACAAAGGCTGTGGAAGGGACCCCCTAATGAGACAGGACGAGAAACCATAGTGGTGACTCCTCACCCCCCTCCCCAAGTCTATTCCCTCACATCACAAAGGAGGTCGGCATATGCATGCTTAGCTGCTCAGTCGTGTCCGACTCTGAGACCCCACGGACTGTAGCTTGCCAGGCTCTTCTGTCCATGGAATTCTCCAGGCAAGAATAATGGAGTGGGTAGCCTCTCCCTTCTCCAGGGGATCTTCCTGACTCAGGGATCAAACCCATGTCTCCTGTGTCTCCTGTGAAGGTGGGTTCTTTACCCAGTAAAGCCTCCAGACTTGCCCCAAGCAGAGTGTGCAGTCCTCCCTAAGAATGTAGGGAGAGGCGAGAGGCTGAGCCATTGAGGAAGCCAATCTTCCCCGATGGTATGATTCTCTCATATCATAAAGGAGGCCAGCATAGGCCAGAGTAAAATCAAAAAGTGTTAGCCCTTCCACACCAGTATCAGGTTATTGCATAAGCCGTGAGATTTAGCACTAATCCTAGGGAGAAGGAAGAGGGGAGGGTGAATTGTGTAGTTACATAAGTTTGTGAGTAGACTATATTCATACTTGTTTTACCTGCAAAGGTCTGTCCTGGCGGAACTATGACAGGGATGCAGAACTATTTGGCATATAGAGTGAAGCAAGCCATCTCCCATGTGCCACCAAATCCTCGCCACCACCTTCTTCCTCAAGGAAAGAAAGAAAGTCTGGTTAAGAAATGGCAGGACACTGCTAGAAAGTTTCACTGGTGTTCCCCATCCAGGGATTGAACCTGGGACCATGGCAGTGAAAGCGTCAAGTCCTAATAACTGGACTACCAGGGAATTCCCTGGAAAGGCTTTGAATGAATGTTTTGAAGCAGTTTGCCTGGACATGATAGTTGACAATGTGAGCATAGAAGAGCTCTTGTTGGAAGGAGAAACGAAAAGTTCAGAGAGCTGAGATCTGAACTTTAGGAGCACGTGTACAGCTGATCCTTATTATTTATAAGGTCTGTCTTTGTAAATTTGCCTACTCGTTAAACTTCACTTGTAAACCCCAAATCAATACATGACGCAGATCAGTAAAAAGTTTGAGCTGCCTGATGTATCTGTTCCCAGCTGAGATCACACAAGACAAGTCTTTCCTGTCTCAGCTTTTATACTGTAAACTTTTTGCAGTCCATTTGCTGCCATTTGTTTTCACATCTTTATGCCTTTTATTGGTAACTTAACTGTTGAAATGGCCCCTAAGTGCAGTTGTGATCCTACCCTAAGTACAGAAAGATTGTGATGTGCCTTATGGAGAAAATACTTGTGTTAGATGAGCTTTATACAGGTATGAGTTATACTGCTATTGGCCATAAGTTCAAGGTTAATCAATATATCAAATATATCAATATATCAAATCAGTATACAAAAATAACATAATATATAAAGTAAATCAATATGTTAAGTAGTAGAAGTAGTTTAGTCACTAAGTCTAGCTCCTCTGTCCATGGGATTATCCAGACAAGAATACTGGAGTGGCTTGCCAATTCCTTCTCCAGGCGATCTTCCCAACCCAGGAATCAAACCTGGGTCTCCTGCATTGTAGGCAGAATCTTTACCCACTGAGCTACAAGAGATAAGTAAGGTGTCTTTAAATAGAAATATACATGAAACAAGATTAGATGTTGGTCAATGATTGGCAGTGTTCAAGGCTTATGGAAACCTAAAGTTGTGTTTTCATAGGTGTGATGGTTGATTATTTGTGGCAACTCTATGGGACATAACAACCATGAATAATGAGAATCTCTCGTCCTTGGAGGGGAAGCAAAACCAGTAAAGGAGTAGAGGGCCTAGGTGAGGCCATTCCCGGGAGCAAAGTATCCAAAGGGCGTTACTGATCAACTTGTCAGATACGGCAGTGGAAGGAGAAGAAACATTCAGCCCTTCTTGTCTCCATCACCACCATCCCCTCCAGCCTGGACAGGTCCCTCCCAGCCTACTGCCTGCCTCTACAACTCAGTAAAGCCTCCAGGCTTGCCCCCAAGCAGAGCATGCAGTCCTCCCCAAGAATGGAAGGAGAGGGGAGGGGCTCTTCCACCTAACAAGAGGGAAAAGGGAAATAGAAAGTGTCAGATGACAAGGATACACGGATTGAAAAAGAGGGTTCTGAGGCTTCTACACTAAGTACAGGAACTCTTGACTTTCTCAGAAGTGAACAGAAGGGTGAAATTTTTCAGCAAGAGGGCTGTACGTTACTACCTAGACATTTTCGGCCAGGAATTGCCAGAAAGGCAAACATCTTTTGATGAACTCCATGTTGAATATGGCTGAAAGGCAAAGAAGTCCTAGCTCGTCCTAGGTTTAAGGCAATTTGAGGCAAGGTCAACTCAGCTTCTGAGGCCACTAATTAGATTCCATGGACATGGCCCACTTCCACCACCTGGTGACCACACATGTAAATTGCAAGGCCTGCTTTTAGGAGCCAGGGGGACATCCTTTGGCTGAATGGAGAAAACCAAAGAAATGTACTTACAACCAAAAAAAAACCAAAAAACTGATACTTTCTTTTAAATTAGAAACAATGATTGATCATTCTAGACCAACTTATAGTGATCATTCTCTTCTCTGGTTTAGTATATGTTTTTTTGACATATTTTTTGACCAATACCTGGTAGATATCACATGGCTCTTGACAATGGGCATTGAATAAGTCAACTGACTATTCAACAGCAGGGAAGACTGGGTCCCTGAAGACTTTTAAACCAGGCCCCAGAAGAAGCTGGAACTCAGCTAGCTTCCTACAAAGACCGAGTTTTGTTCTTCTCTCTTGGTGTGATCTGAAAAGCCAAGGAAGACCCTCCTCTGAAGTGCGAAGGGCCCTAAAAATCCCTGCATTGGTAACCAGATCTATTTCCCTTTCCAGCATTCTCTTTGAAAAGGTAGACACCCACTGTGAACAGGGAGTTGTTAATTCATTAACACTGCAGTGTAAAAAACTGCCTTAGCCAGGCCTTTAGAGGGTCCTGGGAGGGGGAATGAAGATGAGGGCCCAAAACGGGGAGGAGAGGGCTTAGATAAGGTCTGATTATCCTGAGCCAAGAGGGTCATGGAGGACCCCTGGTGAGAGAGCACTACACAGGAGAGGACTACTAACTACAGTTCCTTTCAGCCCTGGAGGAGCGCATGGCAACCCCCTCCAGTGTTCCTGGCTGGAGAATCCCCACGGACAGAGGAGCCTGGGGCTACAGTCCTTGGGGTTGAAAAGAGTTGGACACAACTGAGCAACTAAGCACATCAACCCTGCAGCAGGTCATACTCAGAAGTTCAGCTTCAACATTAGTTGACAAGAGTGAAAGCTTTCTGACTAGATTGTCTTCATGGGCGACAGTCCCCACCAGCCCCACTTGACTCATTTGCCTTCCTGGGCGACAGTGCCCACCAGTCCCACTGGACTCATTTGCCTCCCTGGGCTGTGTCTGAAACCATCTGAATTGTGACTGTGTCCAATTGCTGTGGCTAGGACTTCCACTGGGGCTTCCCTGGTGGCTCAGACGGTAAAGCGTCTGCCTGCAACGCGGGAGACCTGGGTTCAATCCCTGGGTCGGGAAGATCCCCTGGAGAAAGAAATGGCAATCCACTCCAGCACTCTTGCCTGGAAAATCCCACAGATGGAGGAGTCTGATAGGCTACAGTCCATGAGGTTGCAAAGAGTCGGACACGACTGAGCAACCTCACTCACTCATTCACTCACTCAGGACTTCCAATGCTATGTTGAATGAACCTATGAGAGTGGGCATCCTTATGTTGTTCCTAATCTTAGAAAAAATGCTTTCAATGTTTTACCATTAAGTATATTTTAGCTGTGGGCTTGTTGTACATAGTCTTTATTATATTGAGGTATAGTCCCCCTACACTCACTCTGTTGAGAGTTTTTATCATGAATGAATGATGAATTTTGTCAAAAGCTTTTCCCTGCATTTATTGAGATTATGATATGATTTTTATTCTTCAATTTGTTCATGTGGTATATAATTTTGATCTATTCATGATATATCATTGGTTGATCTGCAAATATTGAAACATCCTTGCATGCCTGGGAAATATCCCACTTGAGTATGGTGTATGGACCTTTTATTTATTGTTAATATTGATTTACATTTGCAAATATTAAACTATCCTTGCCCCTGGAATAAATCCCACTTGAGTATGGTGTATGACCTTTTTAATGTATTGTTGAATTTGGTTTGCCACTGTTTTGTTGAGGATTTTTGTATCTTTGTTCATCAGTAATATTGGTCTTTTTTTTTTTTTCTTCATATCTTTGCCTACTTTTATTATCAGGGTGATGCTAACCTCACAGATTGAGTTTGGAAGTATTATTTCCTCTGCAATTTTTTGGAATAGTTTAAGAATAGGTGTTAACTCTTCTTTAAAAGCTGAAATTCACTGTGAAGCCATCTGGTCCTGGACTTTTGTTTGTTGGGAATTTTGTTGTTGTTGTTGTTACTGATTGGATTTTACTCCTGACAACTGGTCTGTTCATATTTTGTATTTCTTCCTGATTATGTCTTGAGAGATTGTACATTTCTAAGAATTTGTCCATTTATTCTAGGTTATCCATTTTATTGGCATATAGTTGTTCATAGTGCTATGATTTTTGTTTTTTCTGTGGTGCCAGTTGTAACTTCTTTTTCATTTCTGATTTTGTTTATTTGGGCCCTCTTTTTTTTAATGAATCTGCCTAAAGATTTATCAGTTTTGTTTATCTTTTCAAGGAAACAGCTCTTAGTTTCATTGATATTTTCTATTGTTTTTAAACCTCTGTTTCATTTATTTCTTCTCTGATCTTTATGATTTCTTTCCTTCTACTGACTTTGTTCTTTTTTCTACTTCCTTTATGTGTAAATTTAGGTTGTTTGAGATTTTCCTTGTTTCCTGAGGTAGGTTTGCACCTCTATGAACTTCTCTCTTTGAACTGCTTTTGCTGAATTCCATAGGGTTTTTTTTTTTCTTTTTTTGGTCCCCACACTGCATGGCTTGTAAGATCTTAGTTCCCCGAGCAGGGATTAAACCCAGGCCCACAGCAGTTAAAGCACGGAGTCCTAACCACTGGACCGGGAAATTCTCTGTACATTGTTTTGTTTCCCCATAGATTTTGGATCATTATATTTTTGCTATTTGTTTTTAGGTGTTTTTTTATTTCCTCTTTGGTTTCTTCAATAAATCACTGGGTTTTTAGTAGCATATTGTTTAGCCCTCATGTGTTTGTGTTTCTGTCGTTTTTTTCTTACAGCTGATTTCTAGTCCCATAGGGTTGTGGACAGAAAAGATGCTTGTATTATTCCAATCTTAAATTTACTGAAACTTGTTCTCTGCGCTAGCATGTGCTTTATCCTGGATAATGTTCCACGCAAACTTGAGAAGAATGTGTGTTCTGCTGCTTTTGGATGGAATATTCTATGCTGATATCTATTAAGTCATCTATTCTCATGTGTCATTTAAGATCAGTGTTTCCCAGTGGATTTTCTTTCTAGATGATCTGTCCATTGATGTAAATGGGGTGTTAATGTCCATTACTAGTATCACATTATTGCCAGTTTCTTCCTTTCTGTGTATTAATATTTGCTTTGTGTATTTAGGTGTATATATTTACAATGGTTATATCTTTGTCTTGGCTTGATCCCTTTATCATTATGTCATGTCCTTCTTTGTCT